GTCCTGAATGGTTCCAATCTGCAGCTCCATGTTGCTGGGGGCCATGTACAACCCAATCTCGAAGGCAAAGTTTATCTCAGATAGAGCTTGCATACTTCAAGACATCCTAGTAGCGCGGTATCGCACTTGGGAGGTCTACTGGAAATGAAATGGCGTCTTCGATGTTTGCCAAGAACTAGTTTTTTGCACATCGAAGGTTGTCCCAATGCCTAAAATATCTGTGCGGGTCTGGGCCTGGGCGCCGAGGGTGGCCAAGACATATGTGCGGATCAAGTCGTTGATTCTTTCAACCGCGGGCCGGGTAAAACCCTCTGACTTGTCAAGGATGAATGTGCTACAGGCCGTGTCTGCATTAGGGGCGTCTTGTCTGATGAAATCCACGTGGATATGTTCATTTGTTGTCTTTTTTGTGAACGACATACTTTTAGAGTTGTACCCCCCCCCGCGAACAGGGAAATAGCAGAGGTGAGTTGTGTAGTTGTAGACTCTCCTGAGCCTTCGGTTTGGGCCTTTCACACACCAGTCAGTGTGCGGGGATACGCCAAATTCGTTGCAGATTCTCTCATATGCCCGGCGGTCACATGGATTGTCTGTCGCACTGCATGCCTGGTCCTGAGGTAGTGGGGCCTGCATTTCATCCAGTATCCACCTAATCTGGTAATATGCGTGAAAGTGATATAAAGACCGCATCAGGGGGTCATCAGCGACCAAATGCTCTCTCAACGAAACACCACAGCCAGTGGTGGCACACCGAGTGGCGAAATTAAGCTAGTTTTGCCAGAACTGCATTGGGCTTGAAAACCAAGTCTTGACTATTTTGTCTGAAGACACCTGGGGCATACGATACTTCTCAAACACGTCGGGGTACGGCGCCTCAAACCCTTTATTCTGCGCCGGTTGTAGCATAACGCTGGCTTTGGTGAGCGTTGGCGCACTTTTTGCTGTAGTGGCTTGCACCCCAGGCTGGTACTTCGCCTCACCATTGAACCAGAATGCCTTTGAATCCATACTGATCTCGCTATGTATCAAACGCTGTCAAACGTTCAAAGGGGTGTCTCGCTCGACCCGAGTTAAAGGCATGTGCTTGGTTCACCACAACAGCATCATGTTCATTTCACTACCCAACTTCAAAATAAAGAAGCAACGCTTCTTCAATCGACTATAGAAAATACTGGCGGCAGGCCCCATGTCGCCCTCCGAGGTTTCCATTATGTTGAATATCGCAACGTGAATTCATCATCTGTAATTCTGTCGCGCTCTGGGTCTACTGATAGAACTCGACAGATTTTGCTTCCTCCTGGGTTATATGACTTTGAGCTGCTTTCACAATTCTTCATGGAAGAGATCCCCTGTTCAACATTCTCGATGAACAAAGCAACTGGTCTGATCACGCTCAATGTCACAGATTCTGGGGGTGAGATAAAACTCAGTAGCAAGTTACGCCAGATCCTGGACATTGACGAAAAGGGCTGGTTTGGCGAAGAATATTAGGGAGACAGACCAACAAAGATTATTGCCCACAAGTGGTTTTATATTTATCTAGACAAACTCCCAACAGGCTCTAATCTTGTTGATGGTGCTCCCTCGACGCTTGCGATAGTCCCAGTCGCAGCTGGTGGTATTGCAGACATAAACGCTTACTACCCTATATACAAAAAAATTGGAAGTCGGGCACATACATCAATTGAACCTACGTGCGTAAGATGAAAACGGAGAGGTAGTGCAAACCGCGATAAAACCATTACCAATGTTCTTGAGATTCGAGAAAATACCTGATAAATAGCCAACAGCGCCACCAGAAACGGAGTCGATATATCCCAATCTGCCCGCGACTCCGTTGCAGCAAGGTGAGGGGTGTGGCTTTTGTCTTACTGAAATCCGCAACCTCGAGCGCCGCCTAGGGCACGAGAGAGATGAAAGAGCCAACCTGTACAAAAAGTACCGCAGAGCCATCAACGTCATTGAAGGCGTTGACACAGCGATGGTCGCATGTAGTCCGGGAATGGATGCTACGGGCGTGGGTCTGCTCTCCACAATTACAGCCGAACCTGTTGTCACTGCACTTGACGTGGCTGCACTTGCTTGTGGTCTGGCCAGTATTGCCGTGAAGTACGTCTCCGGCTCCTATTGAAAGCCAAGAAGCGCGACGAGATTTGCGTTCTCGCCCTATCTAAGCTCAACATCATAACCGATGTGATCTCAAATGCTCTTCGCGACGGGCACACCTCCCCTGAGGAGTTCAAGCTCGTACTCGACGAGATAGAAAAATATAACCAAATGAAGGCTTATATTCAGAAAAAAATCTCGCAAAGTTTACCCTCGAGAGCGAAGTGGCAAAAAACGGGCTCATGGCCAAGGCCCGAGCCTCAATACCGAAAGAGCTCGCCGCCATTCCGACAACATTATTAAAATAGGAAGTAGTTGCTTTGCTCTGTTCCGTGTGTCAAACATATTCCCTGATCATCCGCCTCCATACAGCGTGAGACAAAAATAGCGCCCTTTGGGGTTCATTGGACGACTGATTGTAGACTATGTGTCAGATAAGACCAGTGAATTTTAGACCTGTTTCGATAATGTTCGATGAGAATAATATGTCTAGTCTACAGAGCTTTTAGCACTATGCAGCCAAGAAACTATCTAGATATGGTTCATGCTGTCAACTACTGAATTTTTTGTCAACTTGTTTACATGCTGACAAATTTTCTGTCAGCTTGTTGACACGTTGACGGAAGTTGTGTCAAAGGTTGGGTTCTCTGACGGAAGTGTTGTAAAGGTTGTTATTCCAGAAGGTTCTTTAAGCAGAATGACAAGGACCAACACTCCAGCCAATAATGTTCTGTGCATACAGAAACGGAGCTGGGGCCTGCTAGGGGGTCACGGGGTGGGCCCCAGCGCCTGGTCCAGAACCTTAGTGATGGTAATGAAACAGGGGCTGCGGCCCGCCAGGGGGGCGGGCCCCAGCAAAAAGTGGTCCAGAACCCCACTCCCTGTGAGCGTCCCTTGGGTGGCTATTTTTGGGTCTGGGAGCGTTTTGGGCCGAGTTAGTGGGCCCCAGCGCCTGTTCCAAAAAATTGGTCCAGAACCCCCAGTCCCTATGCTATTCTGTCGCTTTTCATTAAATCTACTTAAAACAAGCCTCCAAGCGATATTCATTCTCACTTAAATCAAAAGACAATTCTCCCTTCTTTTTCATGAATTTTGCACTTAAATATTTACATTCGGAAAATAATATATGAATATTCGATAATCGATTGAATATTTGGATATTCGGCACAACGATAGTGGTAACATTTGTTGTTGAAATTACCGATTTTCATTTTATGTGGAACGCTCTTTACATTGCACTAATGCTTTTAATACGTCCTGCTAATTATATTTAATCCCTTTTTCATTCCAGATTAAAGTCATCATTTGTTTTCATTTTAATTAGTTGAATTTACTGTCGACTCTCGTTATTACGAACTCCGCGGGACCACGTAGAAACGTTCGTTGTATCCAAAATTCGTCGTAGGCGAAACGCAGTGCAATGGTTCAGTGCATTGTACAGTGCCATGTACATGTACAATGCATATACATGTATGGCCAAACACACATGTCCCGTTTTCCTCGGTACCACAGACTTGTTTTTGTTATAACCGAAATTTGGTTATGGCCGATTTCGTAATAGCAAGAGTGGACTGTATATAATAACTGTAAAATAAAAACAATATTATTTTATCATTTGCTTGTCTTGTTATTTTAAAACTCACATTTAGCCAGTTTACTTTCGGGTTAAAACCTCAGTTTCAACTCTTTTTCTTTTCTTAATCAATTTTTCAAATAACTTCAACAATAACGAGTTCGTGCAAAATTATAAATCGATTAAATAACAGATTAATCGTTCGCAAACGTACGTTTGATACGTCCAAGATGAATGAGGTGATATTCCAAATGTAAGTATTTTCCAAGCGAAAGAATATCCTTCCGTGACTGAGGGATTCAATGAGTAAGCATGCAATTCCAAGGTGACAAACGCGGTCTTCATTTGAAGAGACTGTGAACTGTGGTTCTCCAATCAATCGCTCGAGTAACGTGCTGTTGGCGGTGTAAAAAGTCCCAACCTCTGTATTGTAGCGTGTCCCGCTGCACAGGGTTCGACGCTGTAAGAACGACACACTGGTGCAACTCACTGTTCTGGTCACAAAAATCTCTGCTCTATTCTGTCGCAATACTGACAGCACCACAATGTCCTCTTCCGACAAGCTCTTTTTTTTAACATGGCGCCTGGCGGCAGGGACTGCGCAAGCGCGAGGCGGGAAAACCGCGGACCGTTTGCAACCAGCGCGGGCAGCCAGCCAACTCCATGCGGGTCCGAGCTGGCGCCCCCACCGGCCGGACCCGCCGGCGCTACACCACCCCCTCCGAGGACTCTTGTTCGTCCCCGAACGAGGCGGCGCAACCCGGCGGGCCAACCCAAGGCCATCCCGGTCGCCCCTGCCCAGCTTACAAAGAGTGAAACCAAGCAACAAGTACAAGTCTGGTGGGTTCCAAGGGTCTTCTCTGCTACCATGGGGGGATCCAGGGGTCCAGTGTGGGGGGGGGACTCCGATCGCTGCGTCGCCCCCCGGCGTTGCCTCGCTGCTCCGTGGGGGCGGACTCCGGTGGGCGGTGGAGGGGGCTCCCGCTGGACCTCCGACCGCCGGAACAGCTGGTCCCAGAACTGCCACGGAACTTGCTCAGGGTACCGGGTTGGAGGCGGTGCTCCCGGGGGTAAGAAGCCCCCCAGGGACGGCTGCCCGGCGTAGTCGGCGTCGACACCGTATTGCACATACGGCTCTCCGCCGAAGGTGTACAACATCCGGCCCGGGACCTCATAAGTGTGAACCAGCCGGGTCCGGAATTGGCGGTGGCCGCGGCGGTCCAAGCCAGCGGGGGCTACCTCCAACCGCCACGGATTGTGGTGATGCTCAAAGAGGGGTGGGTCCATCATGGTGTATGCATCTCTAGTGGCCCGCTCCTCTCACCGTGCGAAAAACTTGGTTTCCGTATGCGGAAACTGGTGCCGAAACTGGCCGCAAACCAACCCATTTCCTGCGCGTTTAATGTTCCATTCCGGTGGCCGTTTCCGCACTCGTTTCCTGGGTGCGTAAATGCACCCCTCGTTTACAACAATTACTACCCCACGGAAACTGGCTTGGAAACCTGTCTGCCGTTTACCACGCACGTTTCCGCTGCAGTCCGAATCGCAGCGGAAATTCATCTTTATTTAAACATTTAAGCACATTATTGTTTATTAATAATTAATGCAACGTTGACAATGGCTGTCAGGAAATGGTATGTGTGCAGAGAGACTTGTTTTAAGTCATGACTTTTTCAAATGTAGGACAGTACATGTACAGTAACTGCGCAGTTCTAGCATTTGCATGTTGTTTGGACATAATAAGAAATGACACAAGGCTGGAAATTTCAGCTGTCCTCATAATGCTTTAATTCAGTTTACTGAAACTTTTTTAAATGGCCAAGCAATATAAAGTATTGATGTTAAACAGCCAAGCTTGAGGCAAACGTTAAAGAGGCAATTTAACTAAAACAAATTCTACTAAAAAATGGCATACGGGTTATAGTTCTGATGTTAAAAGTGCACCATATACATATTCTCTTTGTTTTGGTTCGGTCTGTATACAGCGTTATACAGCATAATTAATCATAAATTTCGAATTTTTATCACGATGATCCTTATCCCGTGTTTGGACTTTCAATAATCAACTCCCAGTACATGCCGCTAGATGACCTCGGATTTCTGGGTGCAGGCTGTCTGACCACAATGCCCAGGGGAGTTGTGGCCTTGGTCTGTTTTGATCACGGACCATATTACTACCTCACACGATACATAAATTTCCAATTCTCTCCTTGAAGCCCATTTGGACATATAATGTACACTTTATACACCTTCAGAATTGAACAGTTATTATTCTGTGATATATAAATAACTGTGCTAATTTATATCTATAATTGTGGTGTGTGGAAATGGCAACAGGCGAAAAGAAATTGACTTAATTTCTAGAGCGAATTGATAATTTTTCTCTCATTTCAAAAGATAACTACGTGTACGGTCAGATCTCACTGAAGTCAGCTGAAACTCAATTTAAAACATGCTCAACAAAATGGGAAAATACCATTTTTTATAGTAACTAACTCTAACGGGAAAGAAAATGACATTAGTGTGCCCATACATGCATAAAGAGGTAGGAGGAGAGTTACATATGTTTTTCGGTTTGATAAAATGTTCAGTTCAGTCAAATTAGGGCCGTTTGTAAGATATCAATATTTTATCGCAGGTAGCAATATTCTAGATCTCCTTCCTCCCTTCCCCTCGTCAAGAACTGGGTTAAAACATCAAATGCGTTTTTCCTCTGTTACATGAATTAAAATTAATTTGATAGGGAGGAACAGGTCATGCTTTTGTGTATAAAAATACTATTTGTCGGTCATTTTGCATGAAACAGCAACAACAAAAGTTAAACCAAGATGTAATTTTTTTTTACCTGACAAACAGTCAACTGTGACTAAATTTGAAAGAAAAAACATAGCACAGGACACCAACGCTGCATTCCATAAAAGATGTGACTGGTAACAACTACCATTTTACATTGCGCCTATCAGGTAGGCGAATAATTATCAACACATTAACTGAAATCGAACATATAAAATGTCATCACGTATTGAAGAGCATACGCAGCCTCTCTCAACCTCGTACAAGTTATTTTGTTTTTTACAGACTGAATTGTTTGTGATAAATAAATTCATAAACATGACATTTGAAAAAGGAATTTACATAAGATTCAGAAGCTTTACACAACAAACGCTCAAAATGAAAATATTCTTTGCCTAGTTTAAGGGGCGTACTGCCCAAGATGGTGCACTTGCCGGTGGAGGCCTAGAGGAAGGCACGTTCGAGATAACAAACTCCGGAAGCAACCTTGAAACTACCGGAGGAGCGGTCTTTGCAAACTGGGAATCCAGTTTGTGTTTCAAAGATGTTAATTTTGACCTCTCCCACGGTAGTTTAAGGAGTCTCCTGGTTTTGTTCCTCGAGGCACCTTCCTCCTCGTCTTCTGACATGCTCTCCTCTGAAGACATGAAGTCGATTGTCATCACTTCATTGAGCTGTCTTTTCATGTCTTCAGAGAGATCACTGTTTCTCATGGCGCTTTGTCGCCTCTGCAATTTCTGTGTTATAAAAACAAAATACATATAGAGAGTGAAAACAAGTGTTTATTTATTCATTCATTTGTTTATTTATATGCGTTTCAAACACCTTCCTGGTCACACTCTATGGACGTGTTGCGGTTTTAATAACCCAAAACTATGGATAACTGTTGTGGTGTTTATTTTTATGACGTGTGTTATAAATGTCGACACGATGACACGTTTGGGTGTTAATAACAAGACTCCAAAACTCATTTATCGGTGGTAAGACTTCCTGAACACTGCAACACCTCTATTTCCAAAAGGGTTATTAATTTCAAACAGCTATTATGTTTACAATTAACGCAAAGGTGCGTTCGTAATGGGCGTTCCTGTTTCCAGAGTATAGTAGTGAAATTTGTAACAACAATCAAAGACATCATTTTTTTCACTGATATTGGGAAAGGATTTGTAAATCGTTACTTAGAAAAGCTTGTATAATTTCTCAGTCCATGTTGGAATGCATGTTAGTTATCGATTTAAACGCACTGGATAAAGGCAAATGAATTTGCGGGTTACACAACATAATCCTGTCCCATGCAACTCGTGCATGCTGTTTTGAAGAGACTATGTATATAGGAGAGTTATTTGAACCAAGCAAAATAACGAAGAGAGAGGAGACTCACCCTGAATTTCCTGCTTCTTTTTTTGGCCGCTTTGGCATGTCTTTCATATGTCCCACCATCAACTCGGCGTTTTCTGTCGCGCAGCGAAGAGAAGTAGGTCTTGGCAGCTTCTACAAAAATGATTAAATCGAAGAACTGTACAAGATTGTCCGGACTTTGTAGCAGGTAAATGACCACGTAAATGATTGATCCACAATTCTGCAATACTTCTTTACACCAAGGACCTTTATGGCTAGGCACTTACTTCGTACTTGGTCGCAGGTCCACTTCTCTCGCCCATGAAGCGACCGGACTTCTCTGACTATAGTAGAAACCACCAACTCATTTTCCTGGCATGTTTTACTGTGAAAAGTTAAATTCATTTATCAAACCGTCACTGAACTTTCACTTTGAAAAGGTTTTGAGTAATGATCAACAGAGAAATGTTTGAACAGTATATTTTAATTAGTATTCCAACCATTTTCAATACACACAATTGCTTGGTCTTTCCGAATGAGATGATGACTTTCAAATTGTTAGTTTGTTCAACCTATTTTGGCCTTGTGCGATGTCTTTGATGAAATCTTAATACTAGCGTACTTCCTCCGGAATCATCCTTTACTGAGCGGCCGTTAAATACTAGTTTTACTGATACCTATTGTTTGTTTGTTGGCTGATTGGGATGTGGAATTTTTTTGTGTGTTTTGACTGTTCCTCTCCCGAGACCTTTACTCGGCCTGTCTCTCTGGCTTTCGCTCAACATGCTTTATCGTTGAAACGAGCAAACAGTAAAAGTACAAACCACAAAGGAAAGCAGTAAATAATCTTTGCAACACTTGTGGAGTGTTTTCTTTCAAGTTATGACAGAAAATTCAATACTTACGTCAGTGAAAGGTTGAATCCTCCCGTCCCGTCTTTGTAGAGTTTTCCGTACACTTCCCGGACAGCTTGCTATGGGGAAAAAGAGTGCTTACAATTATTAAGACCCCTCACAGAAAACCAAGGGCACAGGATTTTGGTCGTAATTTTTTTTCTCTTTAATTAAGAAAGTTGCGTTGTTCAGTTTGTGTTCCCACACAATGACAGACAGCACCGAACTTTCTTAGTTCGTGGTTTTGATTGTCATTATTTAAATGAATATCTAAAAACTGGGGAAGAGATAAAAGTGCAGAAATCGTTTCATTTTAATTGAATACAAGGGTTTATTAACTCACTGAGCATTCACGTGGAACAGCAACACGTTTGCTTCCAGAGTTTGCTGCGGCACATCTCATGTTCCGTTTTATATCTTGGAGCTCTTCATTTTGCTTCTTGAGCTGTGCCTCCAGTTTTTTATTCTGCATGTATAGCATGCGCAGGGTAACTGCAGATGGTGCACTGGACCCCTAAACCAGACATTTGAAAAACACAGCAGCGTAAGTCAGCTGAGCCTACCAACAAGTTCCCGCGCGTCTCCCTTTATCATCAATTTACATCACTGCTTAAAACAATAAACTATAACTTTATATAATTTCCTAAGATACCTGAGTTATGGAGGATTGTCAACAACTGAAGAACCACCCCCTACATCTAAATTATAGTGTGTTCGCCCCTTTTCATTTTAAAATCACCACGCTCGGTCAATTCTTAAAATGTTCTTTGACGTTAGAAATGCTATGGTGAAATTTCTGCATAAAATATTTCGCCGTGTTCAGATGTTCGCAAGACTTATTATTGTAGATATTAGTAATTACTGAAGCAGGCTCAAACTTAAGAAACAAAACTTAATATTATGAAATTAATTATTCAACTATATGAATTCCATACTACGTGCTGAACTCACCACTGAAATACTTCCCGCAGAAGTATTGAGCGAAGACGAAGAGTGTGCACTCCTCTCAGACAAAATGGACGATGCAGATTCTTGGCTTTCGGATTCACTGTCGCTGGAAGTTGGTGTTGAGGTGGCTTGGGGGAATCCGAGGGTGTTCAGAGGGGCATCACTGGTGCTACTTGTGCTAGCCTGAGAATAGCTTACTCGTATGGCGGGTCTGCTTTGCGAGATATCGAGCATCGTTCTGCCATTGCCTGTAGACTGCAACTGCCCCGAGTTATATTCTTCGGGAGAAGAAACTCTGTCTAATTCGGCCAGCATTTCTTCTTGATTGAAGAGTCGTCGCCGAGGCAAATCATCAATATTGGGAATATGTCTGATTCTAGGATTCATTTTACCAGAATGCTTTGATAGAATCTGGGGAGCAATTGCTCTATATGTGTGACAGACAAGAACGGTTACTATGAATTGAAAATGGCGCGCAAGAGGGGCCAATTGGGATTGGATGAATATATAATTGGACCTTGAATTATGCCAAGATCGACCCAGTCTAGCCACGGCGTCAGTCATCAACTGCGAAATTCCCGAGACACAGCTTCCGAACAGCGCTCCAATTGTACGTGAGCAGAGAAAGGAGACGCTCCAAGGCTTCTCAAAAACCGCAAGAAGCCAGAAACTGACCAGAAACGTGTGTTTTGGAATTACTGGTCGCACTTTTCCCGCTCTTCAAAATCATCCAAAACTACCAAGTAAGTTAAACCTTTTCTAAGATGTACATGTATTCTTCGTCCTATATTCCTTTTGTAAAGTTGAGTTTATCCATTTATTTGAATAAAACCTGTTCAACTCACGTAGACAATGCATATGCTTTATTTAAGATCTTCATCTGCATTTGACTACACAAAAATCGCTCTTATGAAATACTTTATATCAGAAATTTTATCTTATCTAACGAGTTAAACTCATAAGCAAAAGTTATTCATCAGTCTTACAATTAGTGATGGTCCGATTTCCAACTTAACCTTTACTTTGTTGTTAATTAATTATAGGCAGACATGAAGCAGAAAGAGAAACGGAAAAGTTGCCCCAACTGTGCCACTAACTTTTCTCGGAGAGCCTTCTATTATCATAAACAAAAACACCACGATGGTAACGTGTGGACATGTGGTAATAGGCAAGCCAAGATTTATCCGTCGAACGTGCCTTTGCAAGCAGGTATGTGCAGCATGTCCTATTTAGGGCCTACCCGACACGCGGTTATCGTTCATGATCAGTAGAAATTGGTCAAATGATGCCATGTTTTGTATGCTTTTGTTCTTGATGTCGCTTGTTTGTATGTTTTGAAATTCATTTGGTTTAAAACTATTTTTCTCTCTTTAATTTTTATTCATTCTTTTCGAGCGGTGCTTACTTCATTATGAGTGCCGGCGTACCGTTTTTTGCGTAAAATAGTTATCTGAGCTCAGCGTACTGTGCCTCAGTTAAAACGGAAGTAATGTCATTGGTTTGCATTTTTTGTGGCAAATCGGTTATGTTAAAAACAAATAAACCCCAAATAAAACTGCGTAATTAAATCAAGCCTAGTCCTCGCTGCATTAGCTAACTACAATGAGATCAATCGACTGGATAATTATGTATGAAGTAACTTGCCAAGTTACAGTATTTGTGAGCATTATCATTCCAAAATGATAGCACTTAAAGTTGTTTTTGAAAGGATCACTGCCGGTACTGAATTTGAAAGAAAGTCACTCTAAACTAGAGAACAACTAGAAATGGGTGTGTACATATAAGATGTGAACCATTCAGTTTCATCAGGTGTCCAACTCTACTAAATAATACAGTTGGATCCCACTTACAATCGTGTGTACGTGAGTGTCGAATGAAGCATAATGCACAATTTTCCAATGTGTACATGTACAGTACATGTAGGTCCGGTATGTGAGTGTACAATGATTGCACTGAACTGACCTTGTAAGGTCACAGGAGGCACTTTGACCGCTGTCCACTGCGGTATCGGGTGCCATTAATCATTATGACCGCTTCCGGGTTTTTTATAAGAAGGTAGGACTAAACTCTTTACCTCCATGTTCAGTGCAATATGTACATACATGTAATCTCAAATCTTACAGATATGATTCGGCGGAAGATGCAGTCATTTTCAAACATGATAAGAAAAATGAATGAATCTACAGTGAATATGACTTCGCGGAAACATTTGTGCACAGAAAACTGACGAACGGTGATGAATATGGCCAATGGCTTTCACATTTTATACATTTTTCACAGCTTCTATTGAAATGGAATCCCCCTCGAGAAAGATCAACGATGCCGCTGATACTGAGCCCATTTGCTCCAGTGCAGAGTATCCTGTGACCATGACCTCTTCGCCACGAGCTTCAGGAGATGTTGCCAATGATTCAACCCGCAAAGTAACTGTTGAGGTTAATATTTGTGATTCTTACTTTCTCATGTCATAATTTAAGGACGTGTAGGCACCCCTACGAGTTATTTTGTGTATTTGGATTTCCATTTTAATTTTAGTTATTTTTTGGTGTTTTTCTATCAGGATTTTACAAGTGAATCAGATTCTACTGGTACTGACAGTAGCAATAGCTCAGATACTGACAGCAACAGCGAAGATGAGCAGTGGGAGAAAGACGCAATCGATCCTAGAGACCTCTTCGAAGTACCAGAAGGGTCGTGTTCTCAGCAGACACGCTCTGGCAGGTTTCCTGTCTGCGAAGATAGAGGAGATCTTCGAGAGAAATGTAAAGCTCTATTGATATGGGTGTGCCACTTTTTGTTCTTGTGGCAAACTAATTATTTAATAAGCGACCGTGCCCTGGATAAACTTCTTCACTTTCTGTCAGTTTTGTTTAAGGCGATTAGCCACCAAATAACAGCTCTGACAGAGATTGCTGGAGTGATTCCACAATCGGTTTATATGATCAGACGGCATTTAAAATTTGATAGAGACTCTTTCATAAAATATGCTGTATGTCCGAAGTGTGCAAAGTTATATGATTTTGGAGAGCTGTTTTACGAAGTTGATGGAACGTCAAATCCTCGTAAATGTTCCAATTCCTGGATAAAGTCAAGAGGGCGTCAGATCACCTGTAATAGCAAACTCGTGAAAGCAGTTCGATTCGCTGACGGATCGAAGAAATATTACCCACTTAAAATCTACTGCTACCAAAGCATTATCGAGTGTCTTGAAAATATGATTAAACGTGAAGGCTTTTTGGATGATTGTCAAAAATGGAAGGGGCGGAATATCCCTGGCGAAAGCTTGGCTGATGTTTATGAGGGAAAATTATGGAAACAGTTTCAAGCTTACCATGAGCAACCATTAGAAACGGGGAAATATTTCTTCGGTTTTATGATTAATTGTGACTGGTTTCAGCCATACGTTCGCCGCAACGTCTCTGTTGGCGTTATTTACCTAACAGTGCTAAACTTGCCCAGGGTCATGAGATTTAAACAGGAAAACACCATCGTTGTTGGGGTCATACCTCCTCTAGACAAGGAACCAGCATCACTCAACAGTTTTCTTGAACCAGTTGTTAAAGAATTGAATGCCCTATGGAAAGGTGTTCAAATAAGTACACCTTGCGAAGTTATGACGATTCAAGGAGCCCTAATGTGCTGTTCAGCAGATTTACCTGCAAACAGAAAACTTTGTGGTTTTTTGAGCCACAGTGCTTCACTTTTCTGCTCAAAATGTTTGAAAAAAGCTCCAAATGTCCAAACAGGGGAAACTGACAAGGTTGGGAGGCCTAAAATGAAAAATGATTACGGGGGGTTTGAGAGGAAAACGTGGCCTCCGCGGGATAACAATAGCCACCGCAGATGTGTGGCACAGGTTCGGCGGAGTGCCTCTTTAGCAGAAAGAGAGAAAATTGAGAAACAACTCGGAGTGCGTTACAGCTGTTTACTTGACTTGGAGTATTTCGATGCAGTCCGGTACTGTGCCATTGATCCAATGCATAATCTGTTTACAGGGACTGCCAAAAAGGTATTTAGCCATTGGGTTAAAAAAGATATACTCAAGAGAAAGGCACTGGATGAAATTGACGAGAAAATTAACCACATGTTAGCCTCGTCAGACCTTGGCCGATTACCTACAAAAATTGCTTCAAACTATGGGAATTTCACAGCAGATGAATGGAAGAATTGGACATTATATTTTTCAATGTACGCGTTGGATGGGATCCTACCCGAGGTACATCTTAAATGCTGGCAGACATTTGTACTGGCATGCAGACTTATCTGCAAACCGTGCATATCCATTGCTGAGGTAGAAAAGGCTGATTTTCTGTTTCTTAAATTTTGCAAGGAATACGAAACATTACATGGATCTTTGGCAATAACGCCAAACATGCATTTGCACACCCATCTCAAAGAATGCATCATTGATTTTGGTCCTGTGCCTGCCTTTTGGTGTTTTGCATATGAACGGTTCAATGGATTAATTGCGGACATACCTACTAATAACAGTAATATTGAAGTTCAATTCATGAGATCTGTAACGAGAATTCCGTTTGTGAAAAATATAAACCACCACTTAGACTTCAGCAAAGATTTTCTTGACATCTGTAATAGCGTTTCACTGGGTCACAGTACCGGTACATCAGCACAGATTCCGGAAGCGTCAGCCGTAGGTGCACTTTTCCGCACGTGGAGAGGGCCATTCGTAGTTCAAACCTTTTCAGATCTCACTGCAGTTAAACCTGTAGGACATGGTCTAATAGCTTCTTTTGATTCTGACGATTTGAATTATCTTCTGCAAATGTATCAATCTTTGTATGAAAACACCAGATTACAAAGGGATCATTTGCAGCTAACGTTCAATAAATATGGAGTTATACATGTTGGGAACGAAGTTTTTGGATCATATTTCAACAAGAGATCGCGAAATACCAGCGGGATTATGGCTCACTGGGTCGACGACGATGCAAATATTGATTGTCTCGCTGAGCTAAGACCAGGAATAGTCAAGTACTACATCAAACATACGATATTTCTTAACAGTGTCCCAGTACCTCACGTTCTCGCTGCGGTTCGATGGTATGTTAGAGACCATGCGATTACAGATCGCTATTTAGCACCTATTACATCTTGGCCTAAACGCTCATATTTACAAGGAGGGGCATCTTCTTTTATTCCGGTGCAACGAATCTATGGAAAGTTCATTGCGGCACACGACAAAGAAGGCAACGTGGCCTTGTCTTCACTGAACCGACAGCTCTTTCTTTAGGACAAAGGAAACACTGACTGTCCTTCATTCAGACTTTTTGTCTATGATATACTACATCGTATTGTTACCTGTAGTGATACCGAAACTTTGCTATAAGAAATGTCCAGTGATCTCTGGGTTCCCCAAATGCATTGGGTCAATTTCATTTGAACAAAGATTGTCTAATCCAAGAAGTGTGTACTTTATGTTGCAACAAGCGTACTCTAGATCTGTTAATGGCAAAAGAAGAAACCCTTCAAATGCATGTGAGGTATTTGCTAATAACGTGAAATAGGTTCGTTGCAGAATATGTTATTTCCCTTTTCGCTTAAGTCCATCGAGAAACTGGTATATAGAAATTTATTTTTTCTTGTACTGGTATTTCATGTAGGAGATTAATGGTTTACACAATAAACTACCAGTATTGGTCACCGCACCCTTTTAAGTAACAGTTTTGTTTTGTGTTCTTTAAAGTGGACCTGTAGTTGCACATAACTAAACGTTATGCAAACAGACGGATATTTCAGGGAGAACAATAATCGTGTCTATAACTAAAGTCTCAAGGGGAAATGGACATCCAGTGAGAGGACCCAGTGACCTCCCTCCACATTCCACATGACAGGAGGACATTATGCCAGGTGCACACGTTCACAGTTTTATCCCAATTTGATTACAGTTTACAGCGACGGCCTTGAAGTGTTCCCTATCTGGATGTGGGGTACCGGTCACTTTAAGTAGACGGATGATGGTGTTCTCCAGCTATGAGTAATCGGGCGTCTTGCCTTGCACACTAAAGTTTTCTTCTCCCGATTGAGACCTCGCTCATTTCCCTCCATTTTCAATAATTCCACAGAGGTTATTTCTTTTGAAGTGTATTCTATTTTGAATGCTTATATGATCTTGCAACCAACCACATTTCTCTCAACAAACAAATCTTTTACTATAATTGTAATTTCCTTCATGAATTTAATTGCATAAGTAAACTTTGCGTAGCTTAACGCGATTGTCGGCGCTAGTTGCTTTCAAACAATGCCAGCAAGCTGGTATGCCAAACTATCTCCGCCGACTGCAGGCGCTTGTACACATGGCACCGGCATAGTTTGGGGGTGCTGTGGTAGTGGCAAACACATTAGTGTCACCCAAGCAAAGCGACCCCCCCCCACTCACTCCATCATTGTGGTCAGGCTTGCTACTGTTAATGGAAACTAGTGGCTGGGGACCTACCTTGTGAGAATACCTTGACCCCATGCGGTCACCATTCTCGGCTTGACACCGGCACCTCTACAGTGAAACACAGGGAGTGGACCGGGGAATGCGGTAGAACCCTACTACATACATATACATGTATATGGAGCATTTCCTAAATGATAATTATCAGGGTCCTTAACGAATAACTGATTCAAAAATATGGGTTTGTGGATTACTTTTAGGATGAAGATTGGGCACCCAGGACCAAGGCAAATCATTTAGGTCAGAGAAATAATAAAGTGACGGCTTTACTTTTTAATCAAATCAACGTTATGATTCAGTTTTGTGTAAAACTTTGTTTCGTGGTGGTCATCTAAAAAAATCAAAATGACCACACGACATGTTACCGGATTTTCGAGTTCTTGTGAGACAAATGAAGGGTAAGTGGGGTACTTGCAATGGCTTATTCTTTATGGTCCTACACTGAGTGATAAACTATAGAACACTGAATGACTTCACCTTCACGAGTCTGTGTCACATATATAAATAGCCATCAAAGCTAGATATATTGAGACAATTGAACAGAAAAGGTCGTTCATAAAGAAAACCCCCATAGAGCCAGTTTCCCTTGAATCTTCCACCAGTTTCCGCGTGAGTAGTTTCCTTGGCACGTAAATCCTCCCCGTAAAATTAGGAAACGGGGTCTCACGTTTCCGTTGCCCGATTCGGGGTTGGTAAACTGGCAGAGGAAACGACTGGGTGCAAACACTGCACGCGTTTCCGTAGGTATGAAATTTTCGGAAACGCATGCCTTTCGCACAGTGGTGATTTCAACAGTCATAACCTTCTGTGTGGCAACTCTGAACTTGACGACAATGGATAAATTATTGATGACATCAATAACAATCTGATTTGTCTCAATACTGGAGAAGGCACCAGGGTTAGCACATCACACAGTTCCCTCATTCACTCCACCTTCCCCTTGCATAGCCTCTAACAAGAAATTGGATTGTGCTACACGACACATGTGGAAATGACCACTGCCCAACCACTAAACACTTGTTGGCATCCGTCAGTCTCAGAAGACAATGGAGCTGCACCTGAGGCTATGTTCAGACACTGTGTTAGTGAAAATGGTAAAAGTTAAACATGTTAAAATGGTCATTCACCACAGATGGCGGTCATAAAATTAAAACTCACCGAGCCTATGGAACCAATTTTAATTTAGCAGGTTTAACCCAAAACGGTTTATCTCCTTTTCTTGGGGTCCTGAAGAACTTCCACTCATTTAAATAAATCCCACTTAAGTTTGTTTACATACACACATGGCCGGCGTGCACTTGAAGCAGGTTTGGACTGGTTGCCGATATACTTACTGTATAGGTACAAACATGCTGAATGTCACCCGGGTACCAGCGTTTGTGTTATGTTTGCAACATGGTGCTCTATTGGGAGACACTTGTTCATATATCATTGCGATGCAACAAATTATGGTTGCCCTAGAAAAATGCTCATCAGCAGTCCACAGCCACAGACGTATTACCAGTCTTAGGCATCCTTAGAAGGCAAATACAACAAGGATGTATTGCTTTTTCCCGAGTACAGTGGCAGTTCTGACAATATACCACAGAGAGGCAGACGAGAGTGACCGCTTTTTCCCACGTTGTAATGGCAGTTTTGGAGGGTGACAGCATTGTATGGGTCGTTCAGCATGCGGTTACATTGTATACCTCATTGTTTATAACAAAAGCACACCAAAGAAAAGCTAATGCATAACTCTAGTTCAATGCACTGGCAAAAACCGGATACGTTTTTAGCAAAAACCATTTTGGTTCAATGCTAAACCCTCCCTCCGAGGTGGTTTAAATCCCTATTTTAACTCTGAAATAAAACTGATTTGGTGTAACTTAGAAAGCGTCCAGACATCGTTTCAATGCAAAAGTTACACCAAATCAGGTGTACTGTAACTACCATTTTAAGTGAATTTAAAACGTTGTCTGAATGGACCGGTAGCCTGAGTTGGTCAATCAGTGGTTGACTTGAAGCACCTGCTGTGGCTGAACAGACCAATCCTTGAAAGGCAGGCTCTGTGGCAAATGCTGCAAGTGAAGCCTGTGCCTGGGTTCATAGGGGTTTACGAGCTTGATGGTATCTGCGTCTCCTTTTCTCCTTCACCTGGCCTCTCTCTGTTGCTCGCCAGCCAGGGTTACTGCTCTGACAGCCTGCTTCCAGCTGGCTCAATTGGCAGCAAGAGCTTCCCAGTCTTTAGGGTTGATGTTGAGCTATCTGGCATGTGGCTGGCATGGCCAAGCCAATGAAGGCTAGGCCAAGACAGCAGCACAAACATGCTTGGTATACCTGTGACCTTCAGGAGCCTTGCTGTTAGGCGCACAGTCCTGCCCTGGTGATATCAAGTATCCTTCTCAGGCTGCAGAGGCAGAAAGCACTGAGTCTGGGTTCTGGACAGGTGTATTACATGCAGGTCCACACCTTGTTGCTGTAAAGAAGAGTGCTATGGATGCAGGCTCAGAACACCTGCATCTTGATATTGGTGGTAAGCATGGAGTTGT